GGAAGCTTAAGAAAAAAATGCAAACCAGATTGAATAAACAAGCAATTTTCACATCAGTCCTCTGATAGAAACAAACAATAAAGGGTTGTATGATGTGCAGTTTAATATTAACATAATCATATTTGTATAAGTAGCGTGACTTAACCTTTAAAATCACAATTTAAAAACAAGAAGCTCTTCCAGTTTTCGCCAGACTGAATCTTCATAGCAAAGCTTGACACTCCCAACTTAACGTTTTCTGTGTGCTACGGCAGCTCCGAAGATGTCTGCAGGACACTTCCTCACTGAGCAGTGGGCGAAGTGAAGAGATGAAGAAGTGAAGCTGACAGGTTTATACTCCTTGGAGTAATCATGGTGACTGCTGTCACCCTGCGTCCAGCGCCGGCACAGATCTAAAGTGTGGGGATGGTCTGTCTCTGAGTCTACTGTCCTCCTAACACGACTGCCAGACCCATCACAGTGAAGTTGTGACAGTTCCGCAGACACACACTTAAGGCGTCACAGGAGTAGTGGAGTAGAGACGTTATTTCAGGAAGTGCTGTGGGACATTTTTCCTGTGTCTGCCTGGTGTTTTAGTGACTTGCTGTTTGCTGGAGAGGGGGTGGCAAACATCAATTGTGGTATCAGATTTTACCCAGCCACTTTTTTAATGACTACAATTGAAAATTATGAATACAAACCACAAAGTTACCTACCCACAAAGTTATCTAGTTTTGTTTATTAGCGTTTACATTCTCACTCCCAACTCGTCCTATATTGACGTTATGGCAGGATCACCATGATTTGGAAGGACTGAACAAAACCACATGGACATTATATTATAGGGGAGAGTGGGGTAAATTGAGATTTTTTTTAGTTATGCTGTCCTCTAAGCAAGGAGAAATTACACATAGTAAAAATGAAAACACACACCTATAATTCAGGATGTCTCCTATCAATGGCAATAATAATAATTAATATTTGATCAAGGGCAGTGAAAATATTACTTCTAAAAAAAAATAAAAAAGTCTTGTGGCTCAACTTGCCTCAGTGTAGGGGTAAGTTGATCCAGGTCAGGGGGTAAATGTAACCACGGTTCAAACCTGGGCATACCTGTTCAAACCTGGGGATACCTACAACAAATCTTAAAGGTAACTATAAACTATAAATAACAAACCAAATACAAGCTTAGTTTTTCAAATATTTTTAATATAAATTTCGACTGAATTGATTGATTTTTTTTAACATGTTAAAAGGAAAAGTAATCATACAAATGGTGATACAATTTCATACATCTTACCAATCAAACACAGGGTAAATTCAACTTTAAATGTAGCCTACAATTAGTGCTGCGTACCGGTACGCCGAACCGGTACTGGACTTGTAAAAAGTTTCGGTTCAAGTCCGGTTAAAACCGGAACGTCGGGAACCGGTACTTGGACTCGCAAAAAAACTAGCACTTACGTATATTCTGGTGTCGGTGGTTATTTAAACATTCCCTGATAAACGTTATTCAGCGTCAATCAATGAGTGCTAATCCCAGTGTGCTCAGTGTACAACATCACATGTCATTTCACCTACGATTCATGGTTTGAAAACATAGCATTTCGCCACATGCTAATGATAACCGGAAGTGAGGAATTTTCAGAATAAAAGTATTAAGTTAATAGTGTGAACTTCCGGTTTTTTCAGAATAAAACTGATTTAAATTAAATAGTGTATTTAATTCAAAATTACGCCATATCAACATTGATTTTAATTGCTAACAGTATGTATGTACATCACTATGTATGTAGTATGTACTGTATAATGTACACATGTAGAGTTGTAGAAAATACATGGTGTACAGACTGTACAGTACACTCTGACTGTACAGTCACTATTGTAGCCTATACTGTATAGTAGGTGTGTAACAGTGTAATGCGTATAGTCTACTCTACACTCTACCTTTCAGCAACGTTTTAGGGATTTAGGCTCAGTCAGCTCAGGGACTGTTTGGTTACTTTAGTTTGGTAAATGAAATAAATGTTTGAACTTTGTAGTATTTCACTGTAGTTGCTGTCATAAGTCATTTGTAGACTAAGTGGCAAAACGTTTTTTTTTTACATTTGTACTTTGTAGAGAAATGTAGACACAAGTTGGAAGGGAGCACAATAAACCTGACGAGTTTGAATGTGAGTTGATTATGAGTTAATTTTCAATTGATAATTAGCTCACAATAAGTTCACTTTAGTTACTCACACAACTTGACACAAGCCATGGGTTCAGGTCCGGACTTATAAGTCTGAACCTGAACCTGAACCTCTGGACTTAAGTCCGGACCTGAACCTGAATGTGAGTCCAGGTACGCAGCACTACCTACAATGAGCTGTTATTATCAACTTGGCCTACTTTCATTAATTTACTTACCCCAAGGCCCATGGTTCACTTTACCCCATAGCCACCATTTTAGAAAAAATAGCCTAGCATTAAAATTCAGAGTCATCTTTAGCTTAATGATTCAACATATACAATATATGTGTTTAAACCTAGATACTTTTTTTGACATGACAGCCGATATAGCTGACATCTAGAAAATGTATTTTGACAAGCAAAAAACGTTTTTTTGTAAAAATGTTTACTTACCAGACCACAATGAGTATCTTTTTTTCACAGGCAATGAGAAATGGGTGGAGCTTGCATAATTTCTGGTCACTTGATTACAACTACACTGAACAAAAATATAAATGCAACACTTTTGTTTTTGCTCCCATTTTTCATGAGATGAACTCAAAGATCTAAAATATTTTATATATACACAAAATAACCATTTCTCTCAAATATTGTTCACAAATCTGAAAAAATCTGTGATAGTGAGCACTTCTCCTTTGCCGAGATAATCCATCCCACCTCACAGGTGTGGCATATCAAGATGCTGATTAGACAGCATGATTATTGCACAGGTGTGCCTTAGGCTGGCCACAATAAAAGGCCACTCTGAAACGTGCAGTTTTGCTTTATTGGGGGGGTCTGGGGGGTCCGAAAACCAGTCAGTATCTGGTGTGACCACCATTTGCCTCACGCAGTGCAACACATCTGCTTCGCATAGAGTTGATCAGGTTGTTGATTGTGGCCTGTGGAATGTTGGTCCACTCCTCTTCAATGGCTGTGCGAAGTTGCTAGATATTGGCAGGAACTGGAACACGCTGTCGTATATGCCGATCCAGAGCATCCCAAACATGCTCAATGGGTGACATGTCTGGTGAGTATGCTGGCCATGCAAGAACTGGGATGTTTTCAGCCTCCAGGAATTGTGTACAGATCCTTGCAACATGGGGCCGTGCATTATCATGCTGCAACATGAGGTGATGGTCGTGGATGAATGGCACAACAATGGGCCTCAGGATCTCGTCACGGTATCTCTGTGCATTCACAATGCCATCAATAAAATGCACCTGTGTTCGTCGTCCATAACATACGCCTGCCCATACCATAACCCCACCACCACCATGGGCCACTCGATTCACAACATTGACATCAGAAAACCGCTCACCCACACGACGCTGTCTGCCATCTGCCCTGAACAGTGAAAACCGGGATTCATCCGTGAAGAGAACACCTCTCCAACGTGCCAGACGCCATCGAATGTGAGCATTTGCCCACTCAAGTCGGTTACGACGACGAACCGGAGTCAGGTCGAGACCCCGATGAGGACGACGAGCATGCAGATGAGCTTCCCTGAGACGGTTTCTGACAGTTTGTGCAGAAATTCTTTGGTTATGCAAACCGATTGTTGCAGCAGCTGTCCGAGTGGCTGGTCTCAGACGATCTTGGAGGTGAACATGCTGGATGTGGAGGTCCTGGGCTGGTGTGGTTACACGTGGTCTGCGGTTGTGAGGCCGGTTGGATGTACTGCCAAATTCTCTGAAACGCCTTTGGAGACAGCTTATGGTAGAGAAATGAACATTCAATTCACGGGCAACAGCTCTGGTGGACATTCCTGCTGTCAGCATGCCAATTGCACGCTCCCTCAAAACTTGCGACATCTGTGGCATTGTGCTGTGTGATAAAACTGAACATTTTAGAGTGGCCTTTTATTGTGGCCAGCCTAAGGCACACCTGTGCAATAATCATGCTGTCTAATCAGCATCTTGATATGCCACACCTGTGAGGTGGGATGGATTATCTCCGCAAAGGAGAAGTGCTCACTATCACAGATTGTTTCAGATTTGTGAACAATATTTGAGAGAAATGGTTATTTTGTGTATATAGAAAATGTTTTAGATCTTTGAGTTCATCTCATGAAAAATGGGAGCAAAAACAAAAGTGTTGCATTTATATATTTTTGTTCAGTGTATAAGGCGTTGCCTGGTTACAGGGGGTGGTTCAACTTACCCACTGGCTCAATTTACTGAGGAAATAATGTACAAATTAGAACGAGGTAAGTTTAGCTTAACATTCACTGCTGCTGCTTTGCTGTGCACTTTATCTGGAAGCGATGAATAAAGCTGGCATTGATTTGTGGTGTGGTACTTTATTTATCTTATTATCTGTTTTGTGTAATGCACTGCACCTATCTACCAGCAGCACTTTGCTTCCAGCAGCTGATTTTGTTATTTTTCAATCAATTTCCCAACATTTTATTCATTTAAGAATTATAAATAAATGTAATCATTGTTCATTTAATGTGTTAATTGCCAGCAGTTATAAGCAAACTGTACAACAAAATGAACATTAAATAAAAAAATCGCCTGACTATTAATCGCCTGACTGGACATGATTCTGTTAAATGCATCTCAGGACTTTTATGTCCAAAAGATACAAATTTTAAGAAAAGGAAAATCAAGGTAGCTGGAATAGGCTTGTCAAATAAATAAACTTGAAACTGGCAAGCAACCTCCCGAATGCAACCTTACACAATTCATGTATTTTAAATGGGCTTTATGATTTCTGACTGAACTAGTCATCAGATAATTTTAAAGTGCATTACTGATGGAATAATATTTATATTCTATATATTTATACAAAATACAAAAAATAAGTAAAGTTTTATGCTTTATTTACAAAAGTCAAATGACACACACACATACAGAGAAAAATATCATGTGAAATATCCTCCTATCAGCAGGTCTACAGGCTGTGGACGATGGTTCTGCTCTTGAGGTACTCGACGTACTCTTTGGCCTGGTCGAAGCTCGTCCTCTCCTCCACTTTGGGGGGTGAGCCTTCCACCAGCTTGACAAAGTAGTGACAGTTCACTTTGTCCATGATGCCGAACCTCCCGCGACCGTGGTAACGGATCCGCTTCAAGTACCTCCCTTTGCCAGAGTTGGACTCAGCTGCAGGAGGGGAGGGGGTGTGATAAAAGAGGGTGTGAGATAAACAGAGAGAGAGATATGGTAGAGAATACTCATTTAATTTGTAGAGGTGACTTTGAATGAAAACCGGTGAAAATAACAAAGATTGTGCCCAGTTTAGGCTTATCTGTAATAACGTCTCTACTCCACATAAATTACTCACACAGCACAACATCTGGACTCAAAAGAATGTACTGCTTTGAAAAAAGAAGACCTGTATTTACTGAAGGTCATTTTCTGAATTCTGAATTTTGAATTCTTGCTTCAGGCACAAAGGTTGAAAGTCTGTGACAACTAATAAGGTTTCAAGTAAATAATTAGGGAAAAGCTAATGTTCTCTATTTGTATGGATAAGTCTTTACAAATTCAATTCTACATATTTAAATATATCCTGCATCTTTAGTACAACAGCTTGAAAACCAAATCATACTGAATATGTTGTAATTGTTTTGTCTTTCCGTCTTTTCTTTCTTGTGAGTCAACAGGATGTCAAAGACTACTCGATAAAAAAGTAATACTGTAAACAATGTATGTTGAACGTAAATCCATGGGATAAAAAGATTATTTCAGTTTACTCCAAATGTCTTGTTGAACTATACATTTAATCAAAGAACAGCAATTCATAAGAACATTTATTATAATGTTTGATTTATTTATATTCCCGCTACTTGTACACACTTTCCAATTATTGTCTTTTGTACCTAGTCTTGTATCTTGTTAAGTACCTGCTTTTGTATCTTGTTGCTTACGCCTTATGTTTCATTATTTTGTTTTTCACTGGAACCTCTTATCTCTCCGTTCTTATTAGCCCCCATGTTAATTAAAAACCACAGCACCAACATTTGTTGTGCAGACTCAAGTGTTTGTTCTTTTTACTTGGCAATACAACCACCGGAGGTCATGTTGTGTTAATAATGTGATGCTGTTTACACAGTAAAACCCATCAGTGCTGCAGACACTTACCTACATACAGGTTGGATTTGTACTCTACATTGTGATTTTTGACCGCCATCTCCTGGGCTTCCTCAAGAACCTGAACAAACAAAGCAGTGACAGCCATAAATACACTCCATCTGGTGTGATGGGGAGTCATTTTAGAATAATGTATGAATACACAACAACTTAATGAAAAAGACATGAGCTGTGAACATTTAAAAATGAAATGAAAATACAGGAATGTGATTAAATATGTTTTGAAGAATGTGGTGTATAATTGTATTCAACCCAAATCTTGGCCAACCGTAATTAACAGTGAATGTGCAGCTTCAAACCTCTTTCATGATCTTTGCTCCCTTCTTGTCGTTGAACTGCAGCTGTGCAATGGCCTGATCGATGCTCATCCCTCTGATCTGTAAGGGAGAACAAACAGTGAGATGAGAAAAACAATTAAACATTTCCCAACTGTTATGACAGCAAGGCGCAGCACTGCCGAAGGAAGTCCCTTTGTAACTGCAGTATACTAGTACTTAAAGGGTAATTTGGCGGCATCTAGCGTTGTGTTTGCAAATTACTGAGAACTGTGTAAAAGGACCCATCGGCCTAGTTCGGGGGGAAAAGTACTCCAGTGTTACACAATAATATCCTGCATTATATTTGTTACTGGACATTTGTATTTCCACACATTTTATTTTATATTCTTTAACTTTTTTAATTTGTAATGCTATTTTATTTATATTTCTGAAATATTTTTGGACTGTTTATTTCTTGTGTCTTAATTTTTCTAATGTACATTGCCTTGTGTTTTTTATGCTGCTGCAACACAAACATTTCCCGAATTGGGATCAATGAAGTACCTATCTATCTATCTATCTATCCATCCATCTATCTATCTATCTATCTATCTATCTATCTATCCATCTATCTATCTATCTACCCATCCATCTATCTATCCATCCATCTATCTATCTATCTATCCATCCATCTATCTATCTATCCATCTATCTATCTATCTATCCATGGTTTTGCAGCCATGGAGATAAGATATTGAACATGATTAAAATACTTCTCACATTGTTAAGAAATAATTATTAAATATCCCTGGATACATGAATCACTTGTTACTAGGATAAAATGCCCTGACTTTCAATGACATGACTGTCATCAACTGGCATCTCTGCATTTGCTTGTTTGTAGCCAGGATTAGGTCAGGCATTTGATTTTGTTGGTCATCTGAATATATGATATTGACAAGGAAACTCCACCACTCTCACCATGTGGGCCAGGTACCACATCTTGTCTTTGCTGTACTTAATCTGCCTTCTGCTGTGGTAAACCTCCTGGAGAAAGAAACACACCACAGTATTCAGGTGTTTGAACATCACAGAGACAACATCCAAACAGTTCATTATGTATAATTATTAAAAGCAGAGAAAAATACTTACTGCTGGCCGGCGAGGTTCATCTGGTTTCTGAGGTGGAAATATTTTCAGGTTGTTCCTCTCCCAGTGCTTTGATTCCAGTGACGTGCTCGTGTGCAGACATGAGAGCTGCAGAGGACCGGCACCCAGAGCCTGTAACCTGGAGACACATTTAAGAAAGTTGAACAAATAAATGTAATTGCATTTGTGTGGTGTACAAGCTCAGACATTCATGAACATGTTACTGTAAATTTGTATCAACATGTATATTTTCTACTTTTTTTAATGCCATTTTATTTATATTTGAGATGTTTACAATTTGAATTGCTTATTTATATTCATTTAATTGCTCTAATGTACATTTCCTTGTCTTTTTATGCTGCTGCAACCCAAACATTTCCCAAATTGGGATCAATAAAGTACATCTTATCTTAATAAAAATAAGAGGAACACAATTAAGTATTCATCCAAAATAATAGGCTTCCAATCCCTATATTTATTTAATCACCGTTCACTAGATAGAATCATTATTTGGCACACGTTATAAAATAAGTGCTGCCATCTGGGAGGTGCTAAAGGTCTGCCCCTTATTTTCAGAAGATAGCTCTACATTCACAGTATGAAATGTGTTTTGGAACATCTCAGAATAATGTAATATATGTTTGGAAGGTAATATGATTAAGTGTATAGCTACACTGAACGGAGCTTGGTTACCACACCATACCAAAAACAAAAAACACAGCTTCTGTTCATTTAGTCATTAAAGTTCATTGAAATGACAACAATCTGAAGGTGAAATGGCCAAACACATTTACATTGTTAATGTGGTATTATGTGTGGACTACAAATAAAATGTCTATACTTTTCCTCCGAGATAAAACAAGATACCATAACATTGCTCACACACAGTGCAGTTCTGTATTTCACAACGTTACATTATCACGTAGATGTGTTTATTATAATAGCTAATTAAACCAGTCTACAGATATTTGTCCTTCTGCAGAGATGGCGATGTGCTTACCGTGATTGCAACACCCCAGATATACTTCTAATGAAAGCCATACCTGAAAACACAAACAATGTTCCGTCAAAACGTCATAAGGGGACACATTTGTGTCAGAACATTGTACATTTGAGGTTAAAAGGCTGAATTTGTCTTACCACGTCCTGTCATTGCAGTCGCCATATTTCTTTTTTGCGACACTACAGTGTTCACTTGACGGCAGTGATGTTTACTGAGTTAACATAGATATTTGTTTTGCTTTATTCACTGCGTATCAGACACATTTTATTTTATTATACATTCTTAAGTTTAAAAAAGGAATGAATGACAACAAATGTTAATGGTCGTGTTGCAAAAAATATATAGAAAGGATTTGTACAATGATAAACTAGCCAACTCGAAATGGTTTGACCCAACTAGGATTCCGTACTTGGCACCGGTTGAATTTACGACACCACGCTTGCCACACGGCCGGTAGTGTATTTGCTACGACAGTGCAGGCAGCATGTGAGAAGTTGGGGTTTCCTTTATCATACTTTATTCGTAAATTAGTTGAATTTAAACTTTCTGAGGCGTCATGCATGAAAGGTCGCTCCCCGCCTCTCCCAACTGGTACTGCTCCCGCAGCAGTGACGTCAGCAGCAGTGGTTTGTTGGGCGTCGGAGCCAAAAACATCATCTATTTGATTGATGTGTCTGCATCCTCCTGCAGAGTTGTAGGTGAGTCTACTGTCACTGCTGGACATCACATACACACAGGGTCAGTCTGGCACTTATCCACTGGATTCTATTTTGGTAAAAGTTATGTTGCACGCGTGTTTTTGGGTCCAAATCAAGGTGATCAGATATCCTCAGGTGTGATGATTACAGCTCCTGGACTCACCAACTGAAAGAGGGAACAGATATCTGATCACCTGGCTGGATTGGGAACATAAAGAGCCAGGTGATCAATCCCAAAAACGACAAATACATATTTGTCTTAAATCTTCACAAGTTCAAGTTACAGACCTTTTTTTCCCTTTTTGCCTTGTCGCCTTTGTCTGCGTAATACTGAGATAATAATTAGAATGTTGCTGTTAAAAGATTACTTCAAGTCATTTATTAGCAGAACACGATTCGCTTTCCCTTTTTACTCAAGAAAGGTTTAGGCTGTTGATTAGACACAACAAGCTATTTGAAGTCCCTTTAAATAGTTCCCTCGGTACTCCAGTGTTTTATAACTGCACTTCCATTATATGTTGAGACCTGTAAGTGACAGATAAAAAAGAGGAGAGAATCCAGGTTATTCAACTTTTAACTAAGTTCAGGTTTTAAAGTTGCTGAGTTGACGGTTAATGGGTCACCTCATAAGGGTACACTTTTGTGCAAATACACATGTGTAAAAATGTGGTGATTGTCAATCGTGTGTTAGTCATCTTACAGTTATTAAGCTTTTTACATTTTCAATGTCTGTTTAGTTGTTTTTGAAATGCTGCTTTTTTCTTACTGCAGTAAAATGAGACCTATGATGTAAGTTTTTTTTATGTATTTAAAATCATATCTCAGCCCAAAACAGAACTGTTTATTCTAAATGCTGGTGCTTGTGCTGTGTTTATTTCTGTGGTTTGTCAGTAGATGACTGAATTCATTTCAAATGGCAGGATGTTTGTGGAGAAAATATTTTCAATGTCATACCATTGATACCATGTGTCAGTTTGTTTTTTCTACGATGATGGCCATATTGAAATAAAATTCCTTAAAACGTTAAAAAAAAAAGAGGAGAGGTCAAATTCAAAGCAGTTAACTGAAGTCAGGTCAAGTTAACACTAGATCATATGATCCCCATTATGGTGCTCAATACATTATTTCATTAGACTCACACACATGAAATATCCTGACACTCTATGTTTTCAGGTGAGCTCGTTGGCCACAAAGACTTGGTGTCCGGCTTTTCATTCTGTCAGCATGCAGGGCAGAGTAACATCTGTGTCAGCTCCTCCACTGATGGGAGCATTCGCTTCTGGGACTCCGACAACAAGGCTCTTATAAGGGAGGCAGCAGCTCATCAGGTGAGTGTTGAATTTCCTGTTCTGTGTCATGACAAGAGGAATGATGCATTTTCACAATATCCTGGTGCCTTCTGCAGACTGAAAACAGCTGTTTGCCTACCATAAAAACTCTCCACCAGAGCCTGACGATTAAAACATATTTTGTTATACAGTATAACTAGGATGTCCCTAAAGTTTTGTTCCCACACACAGAGCTCCGTATCAGCGGTGCACTGGTCTCCGGTGGATAAAAACCTGGTGGTGTCGGGGGATGAGAAGGGTGTTGTGGTGTGTCACTGGTACAACACCGGCGACACCACCAGCTTCTTTCCAGAGCCCAGGACGATCTTCTGCCTCACCTGCTCCCCTCACACCTGGAGCACTGTGGCTGTCGGGTAAGAAGATATCAGAGAGCACAGTTCACTCTGCTGGATTTACAACTTTAAGTAGTTTTCTTTAAACATGATTCAGAATGTCAAATCTGAATGACTAATTAGGTTTCAGTTAGGCTTAATTTGTTTATAATCATAAATAAAATATTACTAGAAGACATTTGTGATTATGAAACCCTTGTACTCAACTGTGAAAATAAAACAAAATCTATTCTCAAGCTCCGGGAAAAGAAAAATCTTAGGATCTGTTAAACATTAATTTATTTAGGTTTTGTTTATAAAAAAAAGTATTCTTCAAATCTAAGAAGTGACCCTGTGTCAGGGAGGATAACAGTAGGAAACATGTCAAGTTTGTTCAACTTCAATCTTAAGCTGCCAAACCAAAGTGTAATACACATATCAGTGACTGTTCTGTCTTCGTCCTGTCTCAAGGTACAAAGATGGGATGATCGTGCTGATCGATGTGAGTAAGAAAGGCGAGGTGATGCACCGTCTGCGTGGACACGAAGATGAGATTCACTCTCTGGCGTGGTCGCCTGTAGCCAGCGAGGACACTCTCTACATCACTGAAGGTAGCAGTCATTAAAACATTTTTAAAAAAAGCAACATTTCACAAATGCAGTAGCAGCCATGTTTTATTTCCTTGTGCACTTTTTCTCCACAAAGAAATACATTAAGATGGAAAATATGTTTTAGATATTTGTAAACACATATATGTATGTTCTTTGCTTCCTATAGCAACCAGTGGAGCGACTGCAGGAGAGGAGAAGGGCTGCTATCTAGCATCTGGGAGCAAAGACCAGACAATGAGGATCTGGAGCTCAGCCAAGGGAAAAAGTAAGAGATTCAGCCTGACTATTATTGGTGTCTATGTGAAAAAAACTGTTACAAGTTATATATTTTAAACCTTATGCCAGGAATTTTGTTTTTCTTTTCTAATTTAAAAAACAATATATATTTTTCTCCTGTCAGTGTTCAGGAACAGAAAAAAGAAAACATTTATTTTTCATTGCATTAACATACAACAACTGTACGTGTTTTTCCCAAACTCGAAGTTTGACCACTGGTAAAACTTCAGATTAAAAAAAAAAGGACTTAATAATAAAATATATATTTATACAAGAATTTAAGAAAATTGAAAAAAACAACTCAAATCCAGAGAGGATCAAAAATCACTCTGCTTTGTGTAATCCTCTTTTTCATCATTTTTCCCCTGCAGGTGTGATGACTCTGAAGCTGCCATATCTGAAAAAAAGAGGGTCTGCAGTTGACCCCGGGGTCAAGGAGAGACTCTGGCTCCACGTCCACTGGCCAAAGGGACGACCCACACAACTGGTGTCCAGCTGCTTCGGGTACACACAGTTCTTATCATTTTAGAACATCAGAGAAAGCTTTAAAAAAAAAAAACATGGCAACAGCAAGGTTTTGTGGTCACTTAATTGTGTCTTGGAGCTGTTATTTTGCATTTAGAACCCCTTCATTAATAACTTTCCAGCTGTCAGCATCTGGTGTTTTTACTTCCAGTAAGGAATCAATGTCACATTGCAGATACGTGTTATTATCTTACGGTGATGCAGATGCTTTGCCTTTTATTTATAGTCTACTCAGTCTCAGATCAGGGTCACGTTGTTTAGTATATTGGCGAACATAAATAATAAAAAGACTATAATTAAACATTTAGTTTTATTGGCTTTTATCATTAATTGGCACAGGAATATAAGTGTATATAATTATTAGGGCTGGGACTCGATTAAAAAAATTAATCTAATTAATTAGAGGCTTTGTAATTAATTAATCGAAATTAATCGCATTTTTAATCACATATAAATATTTGACCTGAGAACAGTGAGAAGCAATTTTTTTCACATGGATTTTAGTATACCATTAGGCGCATTCACACCGCAGTACTTTTCCCACAAAGGTTCATGAGAACTCTTTGAACCTGGGGGTGGATTAGGCAAATGAAGCCGCTGACGTCACTTCTTCTTCTTCTGCTTTGGGTTTACTGGCAGGCCGCAAACCACTTCACGGCGTATACTGCCGCCCAAAGTCCCCGGCCGGAAGTCCCCGGAGTTGGGGACTGGCTTCAGTAAAAGCAGCCTTCCGAGTAAATCGCCAGAACGCCGACACCTCCTCATCTCCACCGCTCCCATGTTTTATTTTGTGTTGCCATAAGTTAGTCTCTCTGCGTTTCTGCGCTGGGCTAATGCTAATAATGCTAATGCGAGGATGATAAAATGGCGGCTTCACAAAACTTTTTGGGAGTTTTACGGGGCGTGGTTTGCAATCCGCCCAGCCAATCAGAAATATAGCTCTTTTCTCACAAGAGAGCCGTACGAAAGTCCCTGCTTTCGTACGGCTCTCTGCTCTCTAGCAGGGACTTTCGTGGGGGTAAAAAGGTTCTCATGAACTAATTTTAGTACCGGCTCTTTTTGGTGTGAACGCGATAAAAGAGGCTAACGTCCACGCTAGCTTCCACGCTAGCTGCTATATGTTTTGCATTGAGGTGATACTTGAGGCTTGATGTGCTGCGGTGATATGCAAATTCCTTTTTGCATAATTTGCACACAACCGTGCTCTTATCGACGCTTCCATCCGTCCGTTTTTTAAAACAACATTTCCCACTGTTGTTCACTGTGGTTTGTTGTTATCTGAAGTCATGAACGTTAGTTGGTGCTCCAGTATAATCGGTACGCCTGAAACTCATCCAGTGAGAAACTCATCCAGTGAGAAACGTTCCGCGGTGCAGTTAAAATCATTCAAAGTGACCTTTAACATAAATAAAACATCATACAAATCATTAGATGATAA